TTCCTCGTTTTACCGTCTATTTTAAACAGATAGAACGTCTTCCAATCACCAAAATTAATTGAGTTTTTAGTCCTATTCAGATACAAGTTGTAGCAGACGCTGATGAACAACATACACAAGAGCAGTCACAAAAACATGCTACAATGCGAAAAGTATTAAGTAATGCCGAACGACAAAAACGATTTCGTGCTAAAAAAGGAGCATTAAGTAATAGATCAACTCAAAGTAGCTTTCATCAACTGAACGTCAAAGGTTATACAAAGCAAATAAGAAATTACGACAAAAAAATACAGAAACTCAAGAAGAAGAGTTTACACGAAGCCAAGAAGAGCAATATGTACATCTCGTTAAAGAATGTTAAATGTTGCAAATAAAAAAGGCTCTACTCAAGCGGAGGTTACTCTGAGACACTTTTCAATATAAAAATGAGTCAGAATGTCCTTCAACAGTGCCTGAAAGGCTCTTGATGACAGACGAAAGACGAATCCAAGATTTGTCTGGCGTCCCTTTTCCAACCAAATGTTATGAGTAGAAGCAAGGGGTTAATTCAAATGCAACCTAAGCATGCAAGACATCCGCTAAGGGTTTCAATTAGGGACGTATGTAGATGTGAAACCGCCCACAGCGATAGCATGTAATAATCTAACGGGATCTATGTAAAACATGGCGATAGTATCAATTTACACGGTCCCTCGGATATTTATGGGCGACATGTTTGGGATAGCAGATGTTGATTCGGGTTATAAAGCGGTTAAATATGCGCTTACCGCTTGCTGCCATGTTGTATAGGCTCTGATGCTGCCCTTTCTTCCTGTAGAGCCGAATCACGAAGAACGACAGCAGGCAGACGAGGAAGATCGCGACCGTTAGGCCGATGTAGAGCAGCGTGTCGCTTTGTGTGCTCTGGATATTTGCTGGAAATAAACCGAAAAATTACTGGTAAGCAACGAAGCGAGGCGAACTGGCTTTATTTGATTTCAGTTTGCGGGAATTTTTTGGGGGCCCGCGGGCGGTTTGTTCTCCTGCGGGAATTGTCGGTGGAAATTCCGATATTTTTGCGGTTTTGCCCAGGTTGTGTGTACCAAGTTCATTGTGGGAAATCCGATAAATAAACAGGATTGTTACCGAGCTGGTGGCGAAACGTCAGCATAATCCGGTTTCGGGGTCAGAATGTTCGCCAGTTTTCCGCGTTTCAAACAGCCGGAAAACAAAGGCGACTCGCCATCGCGGTGCACAAAATATGGCGGCAATAATTTTCACTGGCTCTTATTTTCTCGCTTCCTTTCACTAATGCCCGTCTTCATTTCGTTTTGTGAAAGGATCAGTTTTGTGTCATCATTAGGAACGTCGCCCCCCCGGACTACGAGCTATGAATAATGCACCTTGCAATTTGCTTGAAAAGGGTCACAGTGCAACGTTAGATCCGCCCCTAAAATGTTCAAATCCACCGACATTTGGAATGAAAAAAATTATCTAGTGTTTGCGCACTCAAGGGCGGATCCAGGGGGGGTCATGATCATTCAATTCTCTATCCAACGATGCCAAAACGAATTCTGTGGCTCGAATGGTTTTTGAGAAACGTCGATAAAAGCAGCGTCATGTTCAAGTGGACTTTGCAACTCAAAAAAAACCACGCAAATATAAAACTTCTTGAATTCACGGCTTCCTTGAGAAAACTGCCACCATTTCCCCATCCCATGGTTCACTTTCTAAAAAGGCCATTTATTTCTGTCTAGAACGATGTACAAATGAGCGTTCTTGCTCATTTTACCTCCGAGAAATGAGAAAAGTGGGATGAAAAACATGGAATTTTGGCATAATCTTGCACCTAAAGTGTCTGATATTCAAATTTCGCTTTCTGGGTCAAAACTACTCGAATTTCCTCACTCACATTGTTACGACTGAATCGACTTTTCAATTCTCTAT